CTTTTGATATTTGATTTCCTGTCTCTCTCAGAGCATCATTACAGAAAATACCTAATCTGCTTTTGGTATTGCACAAAGTCTTTCTGTCTTAACTCCAACCCACGCCCTACTCGGAGCTACACAGACTTTGGTGGAAACTGAGTAATAACCAGCAGTGGACTTCTATCTTGGACACATACAGAGTCCCCCTAGAAAGTACACAAGTGACATAAAAATACAGCAGCCTCTTGTTGAAGAGTTGTGGGGGCTGCACAGGAGCCTGGAAGCCCCTGGCAAAGACTCTAGGTGTCCACACATCTGAAAAGTTGAAGATATCTCATAAGCAGTACATATGGTTGGTGTCCCTTGTGCTCAGTTACATGTGTGAAGGAGCATCCAAATGCAAGTAAAACTACCTGGCCTTTCTCACTTTCATATCAAATTAGGTTTCTTTTTATAAACATTTTCATAAAAACAGCAACACCCAAAAGAAAAATTAGTTTTATGGTATTTTATTTGACATGATTGAAGACACAAGAACACTCAAGATACAATCCAGACAAGTTGTGAACAGCTCCGAACATCAGTGAAATCTGAATTTATCTTGCACAGAGGTGAACAAGACCACAATGGTTGGTTTCATAATAGAGTTTAAGACTATTTCAAGCAGGTGAGTACTGTGACATTATGCCCAACAACTTTTATACTATTCATCTGCTTAAGCCACTTCATATCATAAATATGCAGCTTATCTTGGCGATTAAATCTCTGCAATATATAATTAGCCTTCTCATAATAATGCATTAAAACTCCTGTATGTAAATATTGGCATGGTCATACCAATGTAAACTGTCCTAGCCATCACCACACATTTACCATATTCTAGCACAATTAATCATTCCATCACAATTAGCTGCTAACTTTCAGCCTAGACTTAAGTAACTTGGACCCAAACTTGCACACTGCTGCTTAGAGCAGAACTTCTGCCAAGACCTTCTGCTTTTCCCAAGGATAGCAGGCCTTGTCTTTTCAACATCAAGCTGCACAATGTCATCTGAAATCCCTACCAAAAAATTGCTTTGCAGAGAATCTCCCGCAAAAGTATCAGAACTACTATTCTAAAACTGACTCATTTCCTAATAAATTTCATGTTGATTTTACAGCCTAACATCCTTTATCAAAGTGGGCATCCACATGCCACTTACAGTGTAAAATCTTAACTGGGTTATAGACTACAGACCACAGCATAATATTCTACTTACAATTCTAATTCCTTAGACAAGCTAATTTTCCATTCTTAGATTTAAAAAGGGTGACAAGGACAGCTGGGAGTTTGTTCAGTAGTTCAGTGCCCTGCAAAGATAAGCTTGATAGTGCTCTCATCAGACTGAATGAAGAAGTGCAAAAATGTGCACATTTTGCAATCACAGTAAATTCAGCAACAAACCCCTGCTTGGATCCAGGTGGGATCTTACAAAAGGTGAATAAGAAAGGGCAGAGAATCGCTACTGTGTGGGGAACTGTACTAAAGAGCTGCAGAATCCACCCTAGCACTGCCTGCAGACAGGCTGAAAACAGCACAAAAACTCAGGGGTCACCTGATCTAGCTTGGAGTTCACCTCCTCTTCAGAGGGCAGAGGGGGAGGTTGCAACCATTTATTAGACCAAATTCTGTTTTAACATGAGGCCACCGGAAACAAATCTGTGCAGAATTGGACCGATTCCGTTTCATGTGAGATGTAAAACCACTGAAGCCTACTTCTCCTTAAGAATTATTGTCCTTTGGTAGGTGGTAGTGGTAGACAGAGGCTGGGTCTTACCTACAGCTACAATACATCAGTGTTGCCTGGCTTTGGAAAGTAGTTTTGTGTTTGGTTTTTATCTTTGTTTTGTTTCTTTTTTTTTTTTTTTAAAATTAGAGAAGATTCTTAATAAAACCCCAAAAGCCTAGTGAAGGAGCTGCATATCCAGATCATACAACCTAATTTTCAGCTCAGTTTTACAGGAGAATTCATCCATTATTATGATGAACTGCTGGAGATGGAACGGTCACCATCTGAAACAAAGAAATTAAAATCCCAGCAACATACTAGTGCATCTGTGTAATACGCTTAACTGGTATGACTTGCATTGCAGGAAGAATGTTGTATTCTCTGACACACCAACGTTTCTTTCCTATTATTATATGATCAGCCTTTTACATTTCATATCTTACCATCTTTAAAAGCCTATAATTACAGAAGCTGATTGAGAAACTATGTTATTTAAAATTAACGGCTGAATGAAATCAACAGAGGCAAAGAGCATTTTTATACAAGAAAATAGCACTGTAGAAAGAAAGAGTCTGTACAATATTTAAATATTGTATATACATAAAATTATATTGTTCGTAACTCATCTTAAAGTTTCTCTTGTTTGTAAACCATGGAAAGCAACACACAAAAAAAATCCCAGGACTTAGCTTTTAAAGCATTTAGCAGGCAGCAGGAAACTGAATGCTAGCAAGCTCACTTGGCAATTATAGAAAATATCCAGGCAGATACTGTGACTAGCATTCTCCATAGTCCTTTTTCTTTATTTTTTTATTTTTTTTTAAAGCTGAATGCAGAACAGATTTCACATTCAACTAGGAAATTCTGCAGGAGACACAGAAAATTCAATGGTAAAATGCAACATCATGTAGTAGTTCTGCAGCTCTTTACTGTGACAAAACTCCAGGCTAAACACAGAAAGCTGAAGTGCAGGACTGGAACATAAATTAGTGAAATAACTGATAAAGCTTTCATTTCCCAAAAGTGTTGGTAATGGATTTAACCCATGCTAAACTTATTAGAAAAGAAAGTTTAATTTAACAATTAACATTTCAAAACTGTAATGAATTCCAGCAGGTAATCAGGCAGCTGTGTATAAATGCTCTGGAAGTGTCAGTATTTTAGGGTGATTCTACAAGTTAGTATCAGTTTGCCAATTTGGAGTGGAATTTGGATTTGAATCTGAAGTTGCCAGCTCATGGCAGATACAGACTGTATCAGATTCAGAAGTTATCCACCTGCAGCATTCTGCAAAATAAAAACTGTTCCAGTTGCAGAAGAAATTTTCAAGGTCAAAGAACTTCAGAAAACATTTTCAGAAACTTACTATTTGGAAAACAAGATGCTACCATGACTACCATAGTATCTCACCTGTGTTAGAGTTGTGTCCTCACAGCCATATAAACGATGTTTTATTTAATGCTATTTGTAATTTCATTCTCTTGGCTTCTGCCTTCCACTTTGCTGGCCATTCAACTCAACCCAGCCTATATATATTTTCCTCAATTAAAATCTTTCCTACACAACGTATATTATGGTACTTCTGATCTGGACGTTTTCTCCCTTCTAAGTTGTTTAAATCTGTCTGGACAGACAGTATCTAACCAGACTCAAATCTTAACACACGGGTTAGTAAGAAAAGAAATATAATCACTCGGAGAAGTGCTTGATAAACCAGATGGGTCAGAGGGACCTCAACAGGCTGGAAAAATGGGCGGACAGGAACTTCATTAAGTTCAACAAAGGGAAATACAAAGTCCTGAACCAAGGGAGGAATAACTGACTGGGCAGAAAAAGACCTCAGGGTCTTGGTAGAGACAAAGTTGAGCATAAGCCAGCAACTCATGTGTCCTCATATCAAGGAATGAAAACAGCCTCCCGGGCTGCACTAGGAAGGGTATTGCCAGCAGGTCAAGGAAAGTGATTATTCCTCTTTATTCAGGCCTGGTGAGAGCACATCTGGAGTGCCAGGTGCAGTTCTGTGCTTCCCAGTACGAGAGAGATACGGACATACTGGACTGAGACCAGCAAAGTGTCATGAAGATGATTAAGGGACTGGAAAATCAGTCATGTGAGCAGAGGCTGAGAGACCTGAGACTGTTTAGACTCAAGAAGGCTCAGGGGATGCTAGGAATGTGTAAAAATGCCTGAGAGAAGAAAGCAAAGAAGATGGAACCAGACATCTCAGAGGTATCCAGCAAAGGAACAAAAGGCAATGGGCACAAAGTGAAACACAGGGAATTCCTTTTAAATGTGAAAAAAACCTGCTTTGCAGTCAAATACTAGAACAGGCTACCCAGAGTTCAGGCATCTCCATCTTTGGAGATATTCAAAACTGGACAAAGCATCCTGCTTTAGCTGACATTGCTTAGAGCTGAGAGGTTGGACTGGATAGTCAATAGATGACCCCTCCAACCTCAACTATTCTAATAAAATAGGTTTAGAAGACCCAAAAAGGAAATGGCTTCCTTCTTAGTAACTTTCCAAAGTATAATGAGGGTAATGCTAGCTACTTAATCCAACGGCTTGCTTCAAGAGCCTTGGCAATAAAGGTCTGGTTTCAAACCAGAGTAATCAATATTAGACTCCTCATATATATATATATTATACATATATATATATCCCCTAAATCTAATTTTAAGGACTTCTGAGGATTTTCTTTTCAGCATGATCTCAGAGTTTAAGAAACTCAGCTCCCATTTAAGTCACTGATTTTCAGCACCTAAAATTTTGAAAGCACAGGGTTAAAATCAAAATACCATAGAGTACTAATTTGTTCCCATTGCCAGAGGATGGTGCTGTTTGAACAGCTACCTCACATAGACACACATCCCACAACAACCACCTGAGTTATTGAGTTTTTTTTTTTTTTGGGAGGAAGAGGAAGAACAAGAACAAGGCAAAGAGATTATGATTTTATATCTTTAGCTAATCTTCAGGACCCAATAATAATCAGTATTTACTTAATAAAGTTAGATCTTTAAGCATGCTTGAATAACTTGGAAACTTTTACTACCTCTGGAACTTACACTCCCGAAACTTTAAGGGTCTTTCAAAATCCAGCCTTTGGTCATGAAAGGGCACACACAGGACATACCCCACCTTACTAGCTGTTCTCATATAGCCTGCTGAAATTCAGGTGGATTACGTGATATACGAAAGTCAAAAAACAGACTAGTGGAAGATCAGTCTCACAAACAGGCTGTGGTGGGGAAAACGGGCTGTTAGTAGTTTAAGAAATCAATACCAACTTTGACACTTTTAGAGGTGGCAACATCAATGGCCATGGCTTTGATTTCAGTGTCCCCAAACTGCATGAGGGTTTTGATCTCCCGCCGGTTTGGCACAGCAGCATCAGTCCCCGTGAGATCCAGGCGCAGGGTGCCGCACTTCTTCACCCCGGGCTCGGTGATGAAGCCCACACTCTCCTGCTCAGAGCTGTAGATATTGATCACTATGACCAGCTGGGAGGGCTTGGCAGGCGTGTAGCTGCGCGTCACAGTTTCTCCCAGGGCCACGGACTGGTCGGCCGAGATGAACCTGTCAAAGACGTCGGTGCACCAGCGCGTGCCGTCCTTGACGAGGAGCTTCTCCGGGGGGTGCCTGCCCTCCACGAAGCGATTGAGCACGCCCACGCCGTAGGTGAGAGGGGAGCGCCGCACTTTGATGACGGCAGGGTCTAGGCCGAAGAGGACAGCTCCTTTGAGGATAGTCAGCCCCACATCCTGAGGGATGATGACCCGGCACCTCGAACCAAACGCGCTCTGCACGGCTTGCTGGAGTAAGGGGGACTCGGCGAAGCCGCCCACCAGGAACAGGAACTTGACATTGGTCACCTCTGGCTTATCGAACACGTCACCTGAACAGAAAGAGAGGCCATTCAGTCAGGAGAAATCCCCCGTGACAAGGCAATGCAGGTGCAACTCCCAACGCCCGAGCGCAGTGAATGTCCCACCCACGTGCACAAGATCTGGAACTGCCACATCTGTGCCCGCACCGCCACTGCCACTCTCAGCATGCACCAGTTCCACTTCTGCAGTCTCTTCTGTACTCTATTTCCCTGTGAATGGAAACTTACCTCAAAGCATACAATATTTCTGAAGCAGCATTTTAAAATATTTTTTATTTAGCTTCTACCATTAAAAGGAGACGTGGATTTCTTGCAGAGAAATCTGGCCAGTCACATGGCTTGTAGGGAACCAGACACCATCACCTCGTTGTTTCAAAAAACAGTGGGAAATTCCCAAACCTAACCAATTCCCATACTCTTTATTGAACTCCAGATAAGTCACCTCATTTTAAATTCATTTATTATTTCTGACCCAAACACCTTAATCACAATGAGTACCATCTGCAAAATTATACCTCCTTACATTTTTGCTGGTGTAAAAGCTTAAGCCCACATCCCCCACCTTCAAGAAAATCATACATTTCAGTTGTAGGCTCACCCTTAGCTCAAAAAACTGAGGCAGCATGACTTGAGTTACCTGTCACAACTATTGTACTTCTAAACCTCTACCTCCCTGCTCACATATAAGCTGTTCTGCACCACTTGTCTTACTAAGTTGTGACCTCTGAAATTTACCTAATAATTCCTCACATACAGTGAGCAAAGCTAGATATCCATTCCAAATATAGTTCAATTAGTGCTTTGTAACATGCAGAACAGCAATACTTTGCTCAGTACATGTATTATACTCTACTTGATACAAATCCAATCTTCCACCAGGAAGACTTTAAGTAACAAATTTCCCAATAAGCCTATGTCATTTTCCATTCCTGGGGAAATAAATTCAGTGCTGCTTAAGCCAAGCCTGGAAGTACTTTTGCCATGATGCATCATTTACTATTTGTGTTTTAGAGATGTCAGTGATTTGAATGGTCAAGAACAAATGTGACCTTCCACTGATGAATGAACTAAAAGTCTTAAGAGCAGGAGTAATCACAAACTAGTTACATCTCTGGCATTAGTTGTTGCCTGAAACAGGAAAAACCAAAGCAGGATCTGGGTTAATCACTGCATTTCAGCCTTCTGAATGCTTGCAGTCCTGGAAGGAGAGAGCAACTGAAGCACAGGCAGCAAACAAGACTGAAACACATTCAGTCACTAGGACTAGGACTAGGTAGGAATATGTGTTAAGGTGACCTCCCTCACTTCTATTCTTTTCCTGACTGCTTTGTAGATAACTACAAACCTCAGAACTAAATTCCTTGCCCACATTTCATGTGTAATAGGGTGGTGGTTTGACTTTAATTCCAGTCACTAGTTTAAAACAGGTAAGCAAAGCTTCAGCTCCAGCTCAGGCAGGAAGTGGAACCACACCAGATACATACTAAGGTGCTGAACGATCTGGTCAATTGTAGGTTTGAAAAGAGCATTCATTGCATCCGGGCTCATCCTCAGCATTCCCTGGGAGGACCACTTCACAAAGTCCACGCTGCAAAAGAACAGTTTGAAAGGGCATTAAAACAGTACAGCTGAGCTGCAAGAAACAGGCAAGCACTCACAAGGCACCCTAAATAAATAAAGGAATGAGACAACAGAATCTGCAGCCATTTTACTTGGAAGAGAGTGCCTCACCTTACCCTACCTCCACACTGACCACAGCAATGCAAAATTTCAAGCGACAATTGTTATTTTTGGTTGCCTAATTGTTGTTTTCTTTGCCTGATTGCCTGGTGTAGCATTATGAATGCTCAGCTGCTTCCTGAAACAGCTGGCAGAAAATCCAGTGCTCGCTCATCTGAAACAGCACTGATGCATCCCCAGAAGGGCAACATTTAGATTACAGCAGCAGCAGGCCAAAGCCACTGGAAAGACACAAGGAAAGCAAGCAAGTATGGGAAGCCTCAGGAGGCAGAAGGGAGCACAGCATTTTTAATGAGGCATAATGTTTGTTAAATGAATGCAGGCACTATGTATCCCACCACTGATACACAGCCATATAGCTCAGTAATCTCATCTTCATTCGTGGACATTGTGTTTCTACTCTTTTGTCCCTGATGACTGCAGGGGGGTTGGACTAGATGACCTTCAAAGGGCTCTTCCAACCCAAACCATTCTGTGATTCTATCTCATCAGCCAATTAATTTCATTTTATTTGAAGGGAACATTTAGCATTTCCTCTGAGAGTCACCATTAAGACTATTAATAAGAAAGAGATGGTCTTGTAAAGGGGAAAATTTCCAGAAATTTTTAATGATTTGAGAACCTCCATCTTACTTTGGAAGTGACTCTGAGATGGATTCCAAGTCATTAAGGCTTAAAATACATCCAACCAATAACTATAGGAAAAGATGCAGGAGTTTCAGCCTGCATGCTACACTCTGCATTCACAGGATCAAAAAATGCAGAGAGAAGCCAAGGTACAGACACTAACTATCACATCTTCTGTTCACAGGCCCCAAGCATTCTAACCCAGATTCATGGGCTCTCTTGTGCATTCTCTTCCATGCTATTATCTCCAGGTTTCCCATGGTACATCATTTCAAAAGATGCAAAATAACCACTTCTACTTTCTCTTACTTCATTTTCTACAGCAGGCCATGATCTTGTCATTTAGGGTGCCTTCTTCATACTGAAAAACCATGAATAAAAATCCCTGAAGGGGATTACCTACTACTCCCCACTGACTGAGCAAATTACCTGATTGGTAAAATACCAGAGGAAAGCTTGCCATCACTTCAGAAGAAGAATGCTTTCCCCTTGCAGAGCTTCGTGCAGTACTACGTGTTTACACGAGTGGTCTGATACTGTCAGGAACTTTCCCCAAGCCATGAATATATTCACACATCTTACTCAAGATCTTGGACTTGTTCCAGGGCCCAGGCCACTAAAAATTGAGGTTCTAGGTAACTAACTTTTAGCCATCAAATTCTGTATTTGATCTGATATTCCTAATTAACATGTAAGGAACTCAAAACTTATGTATGGTCAAATTCAGGGAAGGGATGGAGTGGTGGCCTAACAGCAGTCACGGAAAGCGATGCCAGAAGAGATCAAGACTTGCACAGGAAACCTTTTCCAAGAGATAGAAGTTTTCATTCTGGAAACTGCACTTCAGACAATCCCATTTTCTCATCCTTATATTATATTTTTACATAATTATCTCAGTCTACATGTAATAAGGATATTTTAGTTATTTCTCTTTGCTACTGGTACTTAATTCAACATCCATTTGGGTTCAATTGTCTACTCACTTGCTTTTCCTCAAGGCATGTTCTACACTGTGACCTCGAAACTTCTTGTAATAGTCAATGAAGGAGAAAGGTAGAGTGATGTTTAGTGGATTGGTCCTGTCTGGAGCTGCTGCCCGTTTACGGGACTCAAATGCTATCATCAGATCTACCCAGGCAGCAGGACGCTTGATTTTAAACTGTTCAATAAAATCTTCTCCAAATATTTTACACAGGAGCTTCTCAAATTCATAGTCCACACCTAGAGAACCATACGGCCCACCTGTATTACAAACAAAACACAGCTTTAGCATTCTGAACTGCTTATGAGATATCAAGCTGACCAAATACACATCAGATTGACACTACTACTGTCATGGGAGAAGGTCTACAGAAAGAGGTATCTTTCCTAACAGTTGGTCTAATACAGAACAGAAACTTACCTCTCCCTCACTTTTACTCCTATGCCACTGCAGTCACTGTAATACTAGCACTATAAAAGACAAGCAGTTTTATTTCATGAAGTAAAGGAAACTGCCTCCTTATCCACACGTGAGGGGGTGTGGGTTGGACTCATATTTAGTAGACAGACTTGAGGTATTTGTCCACTGTCCCATTTGCTCTAACTAGGTTGTTTCCTGAGGTAAGTCTTACAGGCATCAAGACCAAGAAGACTCAGTGAGGAACCATACAGATCAAGATTATACTGGTAAAGAGACACAGCAACAAAATGACACGCTGACCCATGTGCTTAACAGCTTAGCCACTACACAAAGTCAAAGGGGATCTGGAGTCCAGGAAGCAATATCATTCAAGGAATTGCACTTCATATCTCTGTGGTGGACCAATCATTGGGCATTTTCCCATGGGATGGTAGACCCTCCTTGTTACAATCTCTGTGAAATTAAAGAAATACATAAGATTCCCCTTAAGTCTAGGGAAACTTCTGCCACTGATCCCTTCACAAGGATCTCGTTGTAGCACTCAGCTATTCAGATCTCCACAGTACATCTCTCAATACCCTGACAGAGCAGCAATACACAGATGACCTCTCAAAGGATAGGACAATGACAAGTACACTAGCAGAAATCAGACCAGGACCATGGCAGGAGGTCACGGTCTGAATGGGAGTGAGTAACACTGAAGAAGGCAGCTTCTTCCTCTCCCAGTGTGAGGTTTACAATCCAAAAATATCAGAAGCATTAAATGATTTAGACATGTCTGCTGACAGCAATTAGGTTATACTCATATTGAATGCTAGTCTCATTTCAGGAAGGACTGGTAGTGAAATGTAGTGAATAACAAAGGCATACATTTCCTTCACTGACAAGTCCAAATATTCCATATATAAAGCAAGCAGTGGAAGTGACATTACCTGTTGCCTTGTATAACTCTTTAAGATGTCCTTCAGGGAGCCTGATCTGATGGACAGTTATATCCACTGTGCCTCCTCCACTGTCTACAACGATGTAGCGGTCACCTAGTTTGCCAAAGGAATAGCCAAGCAGTATTTACATCAGTGTTACCACAACAGCAAAAGAAAAAAAAAAAAAAAATCAGCAAAAGCTTCTTTTACCACAACAGCAAAAGAAAAAAAAAATCAGCAAAAGCTTCTCAGGGGCATTACCACCATGAGAGATAATGACTTACAGAAAGCCATGGATGTCTACACTAAACACTTGACCTTTATTACTAATTATAATGCAATGATTGGCAACAAACATGAAATTCAGATGTCAATAGCTCTTGATTTAGCAGAGATGAAAAGCAGGTTAGTGGAACTGCTCATGCTGCTGGTGTACGTTCTAGTGGACTACCACATTAATGCTACAGCATATTTACAAGGCCTATTCTGAGGAAAATCATAGAATGTCTGGGCTGGAAGGGACCTCCAAAGGTCATCTAGTCCAACCCCCCTGCTATAAGCTGGGACATCTCCAACTAGATCAAGCTACTCGGAGCCTCATCCAGCCTGATCTTGAATGTCTCCTCCAGGGATGGGGCCTCCACCACCTCTCTGGGCAGCCCATTCCAGTGATCTATCACCCTCATATTGAAGAACTTTTTCCCAACATCTAACCTAAATCTCCCCTTTTCTAGCTTAAAGCCATTACCCCTCATCCTGTCCCTACAAACCCTTGTGAATAGTCCCTCTCCTGCTTTCCTGTAGGCCCCTTTCAGGTACTGGAAGGTTGTTATAAGGTCTCCCCCAGAGCCTCCTCTTCTCCAGGCTGAACACCCCCAAATCTCTCAGCCTGTCCTCACAGCAGAGCTGCTCCAGCCCTCTGATCATTTTTGTGGCTCTCCTCTGGACACGCTCCAACAGCTCCACATCCTTCTTGTGTTGGAGGCTCCAGAGCTGGACTCAGTAACTCCAGGTGAGGTCTCACCACAGCAGAGTAGAGGGGCAGGATATTCTGGTTGCATTTTAAAACCTGAATTCCTTTATACCATCTCCTTAATAAACCATATTTTACTCAAGCATAAAGAATTGAAGTTCAGCCTTAGTAACTAAAAGCAGCCCACAAACTTGCACTTTTTTCTTTTCCTATTTATACTCTGTGAGAAGCACAATGTTTGCCTGCAATATAAAACCAGTGAGAGCAAAGTTTATTCAAAAAAGGACAGTACCTTCCTCCAGTTCAGACCAGATCTCTCCTATGACATTTTCCACCAAAAAGGTACGACTCTGTCGGTTACGACGGATGTGTTCCTTGGCTAGTCATTGACAGAGAAAAAGTTACTAAGTATGAGAATGCATGAAGAAGTTGATATCATAAGCTGCAGGAAATAAGTGCAAGCAGGTGACAAGTCTGTGTGTATCACTTCTTAACACAACAAATGAAAAAAAATTATTGCATTAGAATCAGGAACATTATAACATTGTTCCTAGAAAGAAGGAAAAGAGTTTTTCAGACACATGGATCCTCCGTGATACTAACTAGCTCAAAATAAATATCCTAGTATGAAAGCTATAAACAAGTCTGATTTATTTTTTTTTTTATATTCTGATTTTCAAACAGCTGCCTGGCACTAGTCAGGCTAGCAGCCAGTTCTGCCAGGTACAGGCTGTGTCACCAGGCAGCAGCCCCAACCTGCTGCCAACCCAACCCATGCCCACGGCCAGGAGACAATGTCCACCATTCCCAAAGCAACTGCTGACTTTGGGTGCTCAGGCAAAGACGACTCCTCAGCCTCTCAGGATGTTGGTCTGTCTCAAAACAAGCTGCCAGAAGCCCTGCTTCTCAGATTTGTAACTTCTTAGAGCCACAGTGATCATCAAGCGTGTCCCTCATAGTATTTTAAATATATACCAATTAAAATTTAAGAATAATCTAGCAATACTATTAGAGCAACCAGTTAACTTACAAGACTTAATTGCTACTTAGACACATAAAAGATGCAGAACAGTCTGTGAAGAGAGATCAGAGTAGTGAGAGGCTTTGCTATTATGCTTCTAAATCAGCCTCTGTGACTAAATGATCCAAAAAAAAAAAAAAAAAGTCCCTGTGTAACCTTCACTCACCTTCGAAGGCACTTCTACAGAAGAACAGAAGCACAGAAGCACCCTGGCACGTATGAAAATACCATTCTTTTGGAAAATAGCCACGTGCAAATCACCAAACGTGTTTTGGTTCTCATTTCTATAGTACCTAGCCTCAAAAGAAGACCAGCAGCTCCACTGGCACCCCTAAGCTCTCCATGAAGAGCCTACGCTGCAGACCAGCTGCATTAACCTTGCTGCACTGCCGCAGCAGCACACAGCGAGAGCTTAAACAACCAAGTGTGCAATGACAGAACAAGCACAAGGTCCAAGCAAGGGCCTGACACAGAGCCCCCAGAAGTCAATGGGAGTCCTTTCATTCACTCCTGTGAGCTGGAAGTGAACACAAGAGCCAGTCTTTAGCTACGACTGAAGTAAGGTTATCCTGGCTACTACGGACAGTAAGATTTTTGTTTTGATTCCACAGCAATAACATGGTCCTTGGAGTGCTTCTCTCTGTTTATACTTAAAGGGGTTTTCTCCTTAATCTGTTCTCAGCTTGTCTTGGGTCCCTGCCATGCCTTTATGAAATTTTAATTCTAACCCCAAATTAATTCACTCCAAACTTTTGCCTTCCTCATCCCCTATAGCTTTTACAAAGTCAATAAGGAGAATGGTATCCCCTATCCAAGAAAAAGCCTGTTAGCAGAAATACATGGTCTGCCAGATTCTGCCCAGCTTCAAAACCTGAACCAGAGAAACTCTTTTCTTTTATTATTATTTTCACAGAGGCAAATCCCTGTGTAGCCTGAAAGTGAATTCTTGTAAAATCCCATGGAACTGGAATGGTTCAGGACAAGAGCAAGGGGCACAAGAAGGTGAGGGGCCCCTGAAGGGACTGTGTCCTGTAAAGGGATTGTGCCCTGTGCTGTGTGGGCTTCCATAACGCTGAACAGATCTGACAAGTGCTGGCTAGGAGAGGCATGGGCTCGAGAGAATAATGCAGTGACTCTGCCTAACTGCAAACCATACCCTCCAGTAAGTACAGGAATAGCTGTACTGGCTTAATCCTCCATTTGCCTGTACTGTTTTGACCTAGCAAATGTGATAAAGTACAAATTCTTCTGAAAAATTCCTTCTGGGATAGACTGGCACACCACCACCAGTATCAGTGCAATTGTTACCATTAACAGATGGGAAAACTGGGCATTATGCAGCAATCACACCCTACAGCTGTTTCACTTTCCTTTTTTCTTTTTCTCTTGTGTTTTCCTCCAGTCTGACTTAGGATACCAAGCTCAAAAATCTTCAGTGATGGAAGAACTTTTGGCAAGGGATTTGCACCGTGGTCCAAACTCTGCCCCTCACTGTAAGTCAGTCTTCAAACACTGATATTAACAACTGATCCCAGGTCAATAAATCAAAAGTGCCATATCTAGTTGCTCTTCTCCAAGCAGATAAATTCATTGCTGTATTCCAATATAGTGTGTTCCCCTGAGTGTCGGAAGTAATTAGTATCGTACATAAAGATGGTATCAAAAAGCATCTCTGAAAAGTCTGGAACACCTCAGACTAAAATGTCTCATTGCAGATCCAGTTATTTACCACTGCCTCAGTAATACAGTTAATCAAACATAACTGTTCCCAAAAAATTCAATTTAAAAAACAACCCAAGATGAAGTGTTGATTTTAATTAAGGCAGAAAAACACTGTTGTGAAAATACTGAAAGACTCCCACAAGATCCCAAAAAGGGCAAGGCAACAAAGCTACCTGTGTGCTAAAATTCAAGTGCATGCTAATGTATCTGCTGGATCAATGTCTAAACCAGTCTAACTACAGTAAACAGCAACACAGTTTATAAAAGCAAACTCATGCTGCCTGAAACATTTCAGGAGAGCAAAGACATTGAGAAATGGTGGGAAAACAGCCCTCACGGACAAAACAAACAGGCATAAGAATCTAAATAAGTGAGTTAATAGATGAAGTACCCTGTGTGAATCCAGTTCCAATGGTGTCACTTGGGCTGTAACCATTGACAGGCGCCCTGCTACTCAGTTCTATCATCTGGTGCAGTCGGAGCTTTCGGCAGTAGATAGAGGCAGCCTCGGGTTCCAGGGCAATGATCAGCTGCTCGGGGTTTTCAGGAGATGCCATTCCTGCCTGCGAGAGAGAATCCATCAGAGAAGTGGGGTGGGAAGTAGCACAGCCTAGCAGACCCTTTTCAGCAAGTGAAAGACCCTTTTGAACAAGCCTCTCCCCAGCTCGTGGTCTCAGTCAGGTCAGCCCTGGTCAGTTCAACACGCAGAGCTGCTGCTGTTTGCTAAAGGTCTGTGTCTGGAATCGTCCTGTCCACATGTACAGCACAGCTCCACAGGCTGTAACAGGGACTGTGCATGCACTTACCATGCTAAGGCTCTAACCAAGCACCTGTGTACATGGCAGGTGGGCAAAAGAAGAAAGTCCTTCTAAAACCTGAACTCCTAATTAACCCATGAACCTGCCTGCTAAGCGGGGCCCCACCCTCCTTGAAGAGATGAAGGAATACCTCTGGCCTTGCCTCCCCACAACGATATTTTAGGTGTGACTTACTTTATACCCCTCATATACACAGTTCTTGCCAAAATGGACTTCCCGCACTGCATAGCGCACTAAGAATATACAATACACTTTGCCAGTAATGCATCTTCTGACTTAAAAACAACATTTTCTATTTCAAAATCCATTAAGCACATTCACTTCTATAACATCTTCAAAATGTTCAGTATATTTAAGGACTCGAAATACAACAGGGCACATTCCCTAAAATTTAAAGAGAACAAGCTCAAAAATAAATGCACACTATGAAATCAGCATTTGCCGTTCTTTCTATTTTCTTTCTGGATTTTCAGCCTCCAGACACAGCTTTTCAAGAAGCCACAAGTTCTCCTGTGACCACATCACTCTCAGAGCAGGCCTTAGGAGAAAAATACGCAAAAAGCTGTTAACAAAACTGTGTTTTCATTTCTTTTCTCCTGTATTTCTCCCTATTGTATGACTTTCCATTAAAATCGCTAACGGTATCTTTCAACCCTTTCTGTCCAAGTTCTGGTTTACCTGCTGTTGTTTTACAGTTAACTGCCTGTAAACTAAAACATGCTAGCCAACAAATACATTTTTCTGCTTCCATAGTCCATCTTCCAGCAAACCTTCATTTCAATCCATACACATTCACTGTGGTAGTACCATAGCATCCCTTGAAAAAGGCAAACACACATGGAAAAACATAGAACCTACACTGGAATTTGGCTTCCCTCATACAGCTACACTGTGGGCTCTGAGAATTGCTGGCTAGTTTACACCTGCAGCCAGAAACTCAGAGCAAAGCTTATATAAAAAACAATACTGGGAGACCTGGAGACATAAAATTGTCCTTTGCATTTATTGACTCATTTTAACTCCTCCATCTTAATGAATAAGATAAATAGGTTTTTGTAGAAAATATCTTCCTCACTGTTAGTAACAAAAAAGGTAAAAAAAAACAACAAATAAATTCCAAAATAAGAAAGTAAGGGTTAAATTAATCCCATTTGCTCCTTATTTTAAAAGCACACCTCATGACTGGGGCTATGGTAATTTTACATCCTTTATTGCTGTTGGGCAAAACTTTCTACTTCAGTTATATCCACTGGACTCAACAGCATCATCTGAAATTAGTGGAACTGTCTGGGAAGGAGAATGTGCAAACACCACAAAATAGGAAACCTTGCCAGCTATGTGGCAACACCTATTAAAAAGAATGATTTTAAAAGTACAGATGTAGAGCAGCCAGAGTCATCCTAGAATATATAAAGGGACTACCAGTCAAGCACAGGTCCAAGCCAGACTTCTCCTGCCATCATAGCACTTTCATGCAAGCATGTTGGCAGGCACGGGCTTAGACAAAGCTCTGGAGCTGTACTGGGGATGAAGTTCTTGCATCGTGCCTTGGTGTGAAGTCAATCTTTCCTCCCACTGGCCTGGATGTACTAGCCACAAGCAGTGCTGGTTTCACGCCGGCTCACTTCAACATCACTTATCTCCAGCTGAGCTCTTCTACACAAAAGCTTTAATTTGCAGCATTGGAAAGGGCAACTTACAAGATATCAATCAATACTTGGTCCCTGACAGATGTTTATCAATCTGCTATGGAGTTCCAAAAATGTATGGTCTCTGCACACAAACTATCCCAGCCTTTTACTGTCTTTGCCTTTGGAAAGTTTTGCTAAAATCTTTCTTGCTACCATTTTAAGGCCAGCACTTCTTAGCCTATCTGAGAAGTGCATGGGTAATAAATAGCTCCCTGCTACCTTGCTGCAGTTCTCACAAATATGAAATTATGTCTTGTGAGAGCTCTGAATCTGAGCACTAAGTGTTTTTCTTAGTACCCAGGAATGTGGATGAACTCTGCATGCTCAGTCTACTCCATGTACTGGGCATATGTTAGCAGCACAGAGAAAATTAGTCCTGTGTCTAACTTATGCACTAAAAAAGAAAATTATATTTTAGGGGAAAAAAAATGGTTTGTTGCTAAGGATATTAAAACCCAAAGGCTACATCAAAAAGCATTTGGAGAGGTGACAAGAAGTGCACACACAGGGAATGCATCAGTACTTCCTCACCTGGGGGGGAGGGAAAGATTGTATTAGCTGCAATTCTAGGGGGGATTTTGGTACAAATTTCCAAGGCTGGTTCTGCTAAAAGGAAAGAGTAAACCATTAACATTTGCTTCCTCCCCTCCTCCAGCAGTACTCTGTACCATGAACTTTTCACATTGCAGCCTGCATGTCAGGAGAGGAAGGCAATGACCTGCAGCAGATGGACTCAGATCCATGTTCTCAGACCCTCCAAGTATAGCAGATGTTATTATTGCTACTTTTTCTCTCTAGATATTATTTTAACATACTCAAAATATCTCCCAAAGAAAACATTCAATAGAAATTACCATTTTTAACAGTTCAAAGCACAGCTGATGCTAACATAATTTCATGAAGAGAATGTTAAGGTTTTTGCTAAAAAGCTTTCCTTATAGTGTTTGAAGGGCCAGTTACAATGAAGAATGTGTGATTTTACATCATAAAAAATATCTTACAAAGAATTTTGCACAGCAAAAGGTACTAGGCATCCAACAAATATCTATTTTTAGATGTACATATACATATCTATGTACAGATCAATACTTTTTCATAACCTGTCCATGTTTTATTTTTATTTAGATATCAGAGATAGCACATTAATGGACATATATACACATAGACAGGACAGACAGAATGGGAGAAGAGGAGATGATACAGAAACATAAACACATATATACTGCCAAGGAGGAATGGAGCAATGAGGTTGCTTTAACACAAGCTATGAGAAGATGAAGACTTAGGAGGCAGTACTCCTGTCCCATCATTACAGCCAAGGAGAAAGGATCAGATGAGAGAAAAATATTGAGCATGTAGAGAACAAGAAGTGAAAACAGCAGGCAGTCAACACAAAGAAATGGTGATGCATTTGTTAAAAATACTAACTGTAGAAGTTTGATATAGTTTACATTTGTTCCTTTTTATCTGCCTCACTTCACGCCCTTGCCCACTGCTGCCAAGTCCTGCTGTAACTCAGAACAGAGATTCCCAAGTTAACAGGCTTGAAGGGGACAGCTTGAAACAACGTCATGGTATTGAACACTGCACAGATCATTCTGGCAGAGGGACAGATGCCTCCCGCTGCTTTCGCCGAGGGCAGCTTAGAGCAGACTTCATAACAGAGCCACGTCTCAGCTCGAGTCTGCTAAGGAGATTTGCCTTCTCCCATTACACTCACCACCAGGAGAAACCCAGCCATCCCTTACGAAACACACAGGAGACAGGCAGTGGTTCTCCCAAAAATGAGACTGTGGAAAACCCATCATGGAATGACCAAAATCCTTTGAGCACAAGGACGTTCCTAAAACTGAATTTATTTGCCGGACTTTGCTGCGTTTCTGTACATGGAAGACACAAAGAACACTATGAAAACAACCACTTTTCGAGACTGCCCTCAACTCGCTTTGCTTGTTCTCCCGAGGAGTAGGATTTCAGGCTCTTCCCTCACTGCAGCAGAAGAGGTTTGTGAGCTGATGCCAGTGCACTGCTGTTCACCAAGATCCATCATCGACAGCAAAGTGCTTCGAAGCCTGGAGCACAAATAACTTTACCATCCAGATGCAGGTGAATGCTCAGCCCAGCACAGTAGCTCTGCTTTTACAGAGACATGCCTCTAGACAAGAGCCTCAGCTGACCGCACACGCGTTCCCGATTCCCTCAACACCATCAGCTGCCAACTGTTAGACTAATTCTTCATTAGCAAGTATTGTGGTCTGGACTGAAGCTCATTACAGCAGTCTGAGCACCTCCAGAGAACTCAACTCACTCATTCCACATGCAGAATCATCATTACTACAAATTAAAAGATGCTACTTTTAAAACCCAGTCTCACATGCCACAACACAGTGCACGTTTATTTTTTTTTTTAATACCATAATGCATATAGCCTTAAACACAATATTATAGTAGAATATTCCATGTAGCTTGAGCCTTTTTAAAAGGCAATGAAAGCCATGAGATAGGCATAGATGAAGAGCTCCCATCTCTGAAAGCCACCATAACGAGAAGTGTCACCATTTAGCTGGAGCACTCCTGTGCCTCATGACACAGCCAGGCAGAATGCTGTTGGTCTATCGGGCTTTATTTATTACACCAGGGTGACCTCAGAAGCAACAGTGTATTAGAGCATACAACATCATTGACAAAGTACATGCTTCCTATTGCTGTCCTTTCAAACTACTGAAAGCAAAAGTTAGATTTTTTTTTTGTTTTTCTTTTCAGAGGGAAACATCAGGCATCTTTTTACAGGCCAAAGAAAAAGTCCAATGACTGACCCTAACCCAAGGCACTTGCCTTTATATGAAGTGCTTCCATTTCTTTGAGCTGTGAAACTGAATAAAAGAACAGATACTAAAGTCTGAAATAGAGTAAAAAAATCTCCCCATATGCAGAGAATTGTACTCCATCTGTTGAATTTAAGACAATTTATTGTCTTAAATTGTATGTTGTTTTCTGGATTTGTATGTTAACTGGAGTCAGTCATCTGATGCATTTAGTATTCACCTTTATTTCCTTGAGCTTCACCTGTCAGTAAATTCTCTCTCTCTCTCTCTCTCTCCTCTTCAGTCAAACTTGTTTTCTGAATACTGAAACTTCTGAAATCTCACAGCTGAGAGGCCCTTCCATCAGTGCTGCTCTCTCTCTCCTCTTCAGTCAAACTTGTTTTCTGAATACTGAAACTTCTGAAATCTCACAGCTGACTACCATGGGGGCTGGGAGGCCCTTCCGTCAGTGCTGGGTGATAATGCAGGCGGGCACACACAATTTCACCAGATCACTGAACAGGTCTACCTCCTTCTGAGACCAGATAATTACAAAGGCCCAGGCCTGGACAATAAAACTACACTAAACCGCACAACAGCAATGATCAAAACACTGCTCTGTCTTGTGCAGACCTTCCAAGGACTTTTCTCTGGCCAAAAGGAAAGTATTTATGTCAAGTCCGTATGTACATTAATTAGACTTTTATGTCTCTGAGGTTGTGTGGAGGAAGAATATTCTATAGCAGGGCTGCCAAACCCAACTGGAGCTGTGGGCCAGTCCCTAGGCTGCTGGTGCTACCCTGCCAAGCCAGAAGGGACAGGGACAGCAGCAGCAAAATGGACCAAACCAACCCCACGCAGGCAGACTCTGAGAAGAACAACAGTAGAA